TTCATAATATCATGAAGTAAGTATTTTGTATCAAAGAAAAGGTCTATATAAGTAATCAGACAGGAAAAGATATCTGAATTCTAGACTCTGAATCAGATGCTCATGTCACATCTTACAGAGATCTTATCATGGCAAAACCTCAGAAGGTGAAAGTAATGTTGAAAATAACAGACAGAATGATGATCTCTGCTGCAGCTATAGAAGATACAAAGATTTCAGTAAAAGAAATAAATATACTGTTAAATGATATCTGCTATATTCTGAAGTTAGAAGTGAATCTCATGAGTATGAATAAGCTTATATATCAGAGTTATATCTATAAGCAGTTGATATATGAGAATAATTATACTATGTTAATTATGTCTCTCAACTGCATATTCTCATTTACAGTAAGATTAAATGAGAATGATATCTATGAGATGAAAAGACCAGTTATATACAGAGACTTAATTCAGTTTACTATACTTAATGATGATTTTGAATCTGTGAACACATTATGAGTGAAAGATGATACAATATTGACACTATCTGAAAGAAATAATATAAAGGTTATAGAACTTACAATGATGTAATAACATTAAAAGCTAGAACATCTGAATCGTGTGAATATTGCAAAAATGACAGCAGATTTATGACTAGAAATGAGAATAAGAGATGACAGAGCTTTGTCATTCTGCAAGACCTGTGTACAGATAAAAATAACATATTCAATATTTGTATTAATGATGAGAACTATCAAACCTCTGATGAGATTCTTTATGAACCTTGTAGATGACAGCTGCATACTATATAATGAAGTCAATCTCTCTACTCAGAGAGGAGCTAATTATTGAATGAGTATTACAGATGATGCTACACACTACAGATAAATTATTCTTATAATGTCAAAGAGTGAGATCACTGTGTGTTTGATAATCTTTATTGATGAAATTGAGATCATTACTCAACACTGAATTGAAACTCTATACTGAGATGATAAAGAAGAGTTCAAAAGTCAAGAACTTAAGACCTACTATCAGAGTAAAGAAATAGTGTATGAAACAACTACATCTGATACATTATAATCAAATGACTCAGTAGAATGTACAAATTGAATAGTTGCAGAGAAGACAAGAAGCTTGCTATTTAATAGTAAGCTAGTGAAAGAGCTCTGAGATGAGATAATACAAGCTGTGATTATAATGATTAATATATTCTCAATATTAATAAAGATATTTAAATACAATAATAGAACATCACTTACATCTTTTGAAGCTTGAACTGAGGTGCAATCTTCTATTCATTGAATACAGAGATGAGAGTGCAAGATCTATAAGAAGGATTTAAAAGTATCAAATAAGCTCATAGATAGAACTGATGATAAGAAATAACAGCTGATTGAATATCAAGAATTACATCAATATCATGTGTGAGATTCTGTTGCATGTTGTCTTGAGATTATATGAGATGTTATATTTGATGAAGCTCTTGATATAAATGCAAACACATCTGTAAATACAGTGAGAGAATTCAATGAATTGTCTAATGAATTGAACATTCTGAATGTCAGAGAGAAATGATAACACTGTCTTTTAAGAAGACTTATAAAGAAAAAGCCAGATGTTTTGAAGATGATTATTAATAAGAACTTAGAGAGTGTAATTAATTTAATCTATCTTCTAGATAATAAGACACAGCTTATTATAAATGAAGAGTCTGAAGATCTTATTAATAAGAATAATTCTATTCTAAGTATTCTGACAGATTGATTAACTACACTGATAGAAGTCAAGAGAAGCTCAGACTGAGACTATTAACATGAGACAATGAAAAAGAAGATTAAGATATTTGAATAGAAGAAGATATATATTATCATTGAAAAGGCTCTGGAAATGAATATTCTTACAGATAAATGAGTATATAATTGAAAATTCAATAATTAAAGAGAAATCATCTGCTTTAGAGCTTATTAAGTAATTAGAGAGTTCTTGTAATAACAGAGTATTTATTATATGAGATTGTATACTGCAGTGATATCAGAGTCTACATCACACAGTCTATTCACTATACTAACTGTTAAAGAATGAAAGATCAAATTGATTGACTATGTATCTATGTTTTTGAATGACATACTATTACAGAATGAGATGATCTATATACAACTACTCACAGATGTTAAGCATGATAGAGAGAGCTTGATAAGATTACTCTGTCAGAGTCTATATAAAATGAAGTAAGCTGTAAGAGTATAGTATTTTCTTGTAATAAAGCATCTGACTATATTGAGATTCAAGATATCATCTTATAACAGCAGATTTTTATATTACTCTATTTATAAGATTTATCTGATATTGCATGTTGATAATTGTCAGATGATAGAATCTCAAGAACAGTAATTAGACTGAGTATTGAAGAAGATTATAAAGAGATTTAAGACAAAGAATATCAAAGAAACTAAGTCATATCTTGAGATAAAGATTAAATATTAGAGAAATGATCATCTAGCAGTTACACAGAGCTATTATATTGAGAAGATTCTTGAAGATTTCAGTATGAATAAGATAAATTCAGCTAGCATTTTAATAACAGCTGATATATGACTGAAATTCTCACCTGATGAGAAGAAGAGATTGAATGATAACTTTATAGCTATGAGATATTATCAAGAATTGAAATTATTGCAATATTTGATCTCAAGCAGTCAGTCAGATCTAGTGTTCACAGTCAACTATCTCTTACATTTTAACTTATATCTGTACAAGGCATGTTGAGCAGCATTGAAGTATGTTCTATATTATGTCAAGAAGATAAAAAATCATGACATATTATACAGAAAGAAAATCAGTGATATAAGTCTGAGTTCTGTGATATACTGTGATTCAGACTGAGCAGAGACAGATTCTCAATACAAATTGACTACTGACTATATTATATTGATTAATAAGTCATCAATCTCATAATAGTTGCAGAGATAGATATCTATCAAAAAATCAATCACAGAAGCTGAATATATTACAGCTAGTGAGACAGCTTGTAAGATAATCTGATTGAATAATATATTATATGATACTGAGTTGATAAATGATGAAAAAGTGAAAATATACTTATATCTATGAGTTGATAATAAGGGAGCAATTGATCTAGCAAAGAGAGAATTCTTAATACAAAGATCACATCATATTAAGATTAGATATCATATTCTCTGTAATTTAATTGAAAAAGGGGAAATCATGATGAAACATGTTGATTCTACAGTGAACATAGCTGACAGTCTCACCAAGTCACTGATGAAGCCTGCATTTGAAGATTTTGTCAAAAGAATTAGTATTCAGGAAATTGAGAAGAAGAAATGATTGAATGATAATAATGATACAGTGAATCAATGAATTTTACATGTATTTCTTGATTTTTACAGTTATTGCTGTACAGATGCCTTTTCTAATGAGGAAATCAGAGTCTGATTGATGTAATTAATTATTATTGCATTTTTGAAAGATTTGAGAATGAGAGAGGCCCTGAGTGACGGCTTATAGACCACGGTGTAGCAAGAGAGAGTGTTGATGATTACTACATCTACTCTAGTCATGTGCTATCTCAATCTATTTAGTGTAACTCGCGTAGTTAGATTACAACACAATAACATTATTCTTCAAGATCAGGCTGATAGGTTTGATGTTATATACGTCACATTTGCAAATGCCTCAGACCTTGCAAAGAATCAAGCTGAATAAATCACTCAGCTGACTCAAAAGTTGATCAATGCTGTAACAAAGATTTGACAAGATGCACAAACTACAGTAAATGCATGTCAAGAACACTTACAGGCCATAATTTGCAAGCTTCACATGCAAGGGAATGCAATAAAGAAGAAGATTATTATTATTATTATTATTCTTCAATTATAGATGTATGCAGTCAGAAACTATAACATCTACCTGAGAATCTTTAGTTCTCAGAGTTTTTTCTATATCTATAGAGTCAACTATTATACATTTATCAATTTTAAATATGCAAAATCAGAAAATTTCAGCTCAGAATATAAAAAACTGTTTATAAATTACAGTATTTTAACATCTTCTGATAGTTTGAAATCATTTGAAAATATTATGATAAAAGAAAAGAGAATATAGTCTTAAAGATAGACATATTAAATAGATAGAGAAAAGAACAGAAGAAAACAAGTACAGTAAAGAGAGCTACAGAACAAGATCTCTGCAGTTTATATCTTAAGTTATATATATATTTTAACACTCTATATAACTGATTATCATCTCTGTTCTCTCAAGCCTGCTTCAGAGATTATCATTTCTTCTAAAGAGTTATCACTCAGCTAGCTTCTGTAACTAGCTTACTCATAAGTGAGATTCTCACTAAGAATAATATCAGAGCTACTTAATTCTAGTTAAGTCTCTAATCTTTCAGCTGTTAATCTCAGTATTTCAGCCTATCAATTGACTGTCACAGTCTTGCTTATACTAATTATCTATTAAGAGTGTCTAGGCCTCATCTTATCTAGATTCTTACTAGACTCAGAGTGTTCTAATCAGATAGTTTTTAAATCTTCTTTCTCAGAAGTAAGTGTCTAGAGTGAGAGAAATGAGATCTGATCAGTTAAGCTTGATAATAATTCACTATTCTATAAACACTCTAGATCTCAATTACTCTAGTACTGATCTAACTTAAAGTATCTGAGAAACTGTTAATTCTAAGATCAGTGAGAATTAGTGCTCAGAAATCTCTGAAATGAATATCTTAAGCTTGACAATGATTCACTATAGTGCACTCAGAGGCTCTCAGTACTATTTTATAACTTAACAGTGAAAGCTGTGATTAAGATGACTCTCACAGGGTTCGAACCTGCCCTCTCTTGACATTCATTCCCTGAGAAGAAGGCCGCTAATTGAGGCTCCATGATAGCGTAGTTAACCACTACGCCACCGGGCCACAAAGAAGAAGATCTTACAAGATAATGAGCTGAATACATCACAGGCTGTAAAGACAAACTTCATGCTACTGTTTGAGCTGTCAAAACACTCAGAATACTACAGTAAAAGAACAAAATATTCAAAGAAATTGAATGCTGTGAGATTTCAAACAGTTCATGAGTTATGTGAAAGTTATTACAATGCTGTTATCACTCTATCAATGAGCTATTCTACTGTAGCATGAATGCAATCAAGTGTGAAAGTACTTGACAGTCTGATAAAGATGTTGAAGAAGGATGCAGAGAAAGAAGAAGAGATGAATTGATTATGTGAGATTTTGAATATCATGAATACACTTGAAGAAGAGAGGCTGATGTGTAGAGAGTTTAAGATTCTTCATGACATGTATTCATTCTCATTTCTCAATATTTTCTTCACTGACAGAGTACTCAGATAAAATCTCTCAGTATTAAGAGATTAATCTCTCTTTCACCTCCTTGTCTCAACATAGATCAATCTCAAGTGTGTTGACTACACAGAATGAATACTCATCTACGATGAGTGAGTCAACATTTTACCCAGTATGTGAGTGTGGCAGCTTAACAGCGGATCAGCTGTCAAATCTACAGCAAATAGGTCAACAGCACCAGTCTTCTATCAGCGTATGACAACCATCATTTTCTCATTTAGACATGGCTAATCAATGGATAGAGCGTAAAAATTCCAATTTTGAACTGCCAGCTAGTCTCAGCACTGGATGAGACCAGCTTGGCACTTATCATAATACAGTTTATCCTTCAAAAAGACGCAAGTCTGAAGACTCACAATCACTGTTCCGAGATATATTGCAACTAGCTGAAACGGCGCTTCAGAACAGGGAAAGAAGCCAAAACATCGTGTCTGGCTGCATTGTTCCTGAAGGATAACAATATTATTCAGAATGCAATGGAATCGGAGGCGGCTCCTTCTATGTGCTGCCGGCCTGTATTTACTATCTGATGCCCATGTTAGATTTTCATTTGTACAGTTTGTTCCTGGTTGTACTTTGTTAAATCAAAGCAAATGATTGGTTTACTCAATCCTTGCCTTTGCATCTGGAAAATTAGAAATTCCGGGTGCTGGATGAATTCTGCCCCAGTTGTAGGGAGCTATCCGATTTTACACTTCTATCAGACCACAAAACGGCTTGAACCTGAACTTTGACAGTCAGATCTAAATGTTTATAAACTACCAAGTGTGATATTTTATCAAATATATTCTTGGCACCTTATTGCTGATCCGTATTCTCCTTTTGATTTCAAACTATTCTAGCGGCATCGTCTCGCCAGCATGCCCCTGTCAACTATTTGCACCTCTCCTTAGCAATCTCTGGAGATCCACATACGCGTTCAGCGTTATGACCGGCATTCTCGTCATCAGATGCGATTACCGAGATCAAGTATGAAGAAAAAAGCAAGCATTAGATTGGTAAATAAGGCCTCCCACGATGGGCCTCTACCGCGCGAGACGTGAGCAACGATAACGACAAGTCATCGACCGTATGTGTCCCACATTTCCGGTGTGATTGTTGTAGTAGTATAAGCGTACTCGGCTTCAATCCAGGCTTCCCAATCCCAATCAATCCAGTCATTGAATTGCATAGCCATAGTTTTATTCCACCGTAGAAGAGGTGAAATGTACTGACCAAGGAACAGGTTTGATTCAATAGCGACTGGATCATTTCTTCTCCGACCGAAAAGAGCACCAGCAAAGTCAAGGAACAGGAGATTTTGTTTTGAATCACAACCGGGCTTCTCTACCATGATGACATTTCTAGGGCTTAGATCCGTGAGTAAAATATTTTGCTCATACACTCGACTTTCGAAGTTGATAACCGATTTCATGATCTCTTGGCGAGAATGGCAAGAAAACTTTTGTGGATTGGCTTGTTGCATTGATATCCCTGGTATATACTCCAGCAGAATAAGTCGAACAGTCCGGATTTTAGACCCCTCAACAGCAATATTCAATGAATACGATCCGTAGAACCTGGGTACTTGTTTCCCCTGTGACTCAGACAGAACATCATATGCATGGGTTTCGTGGGTATAGTGTTTGTCCACACAAAGAAAAGGATTAAGAAATCCTTCTTCATCATCGAAATAAAGAGGGTCATATATTTTGGCAACCAATGCTCTATCTGACTGAAAGCATGGAGGATGAGGTCTAACTGCAAGAACCTCAACAGTGAAAACTTGCGCATTGCAGCCATCCCCGACTCTCAATAAATCAAGAATCTTCAAGTCGACGATGCATGATCCCATGCTTCCTGGCAAAGGAGGATGCCGCAAGCACCGCTCAAGTGGATGAAATTGTCTTCTCTCTGCCCTGCCAGTTTGAAAATTGCAGCAACAGTCTTTGGTTACTGGTGTAGGCGGTGGAGGAATGTGTGACTCGGCGGTGAAAACCCAGCCCTCGACATAAGGGACTGGGGGTTTTGGAAGGTCGGTGGATGGAGGATCCATGAGGCGTTTGTTGTTCGACAGAAATATGTGGACGGCAATGGATAACGGGAGGAGGTTCTTTGTTAGAGGATAACGTTGTTGTATATGTGTAATCTATCTAAGGTGAAACTATATATAAGTTGGGTGGCACGTGATTAGGGTAGATGTCCATACCGGAAAAACGTAGACTTATTATACGACCGGATTATGGTTGTTCCGCCGTGCCAGCCGGCGACACCGTCGCTGAACTGTAAATCTTAATATAATGGTGGTTTTGTTGGCCGTTACGGCCGTTGCGGTTAGCGATCCCACTAGATCACGTGACCCAGCACTATGTTATGTTCTTGTAGATAGATCTATCAATACAACCTTCAACTATTCTACAGATTATAGCCTGAATAGCATGTTTTTCTTTTTAGAATATTGTATCAATATTTTTAACACAGATAGTTCATCTTTTTTGAAAAGACTCTCACTCTTTATTAGAGATATTTTATTTTCTCTGAATCTGCTAATCAGCAGATTCATATACTTTATATTTTTAAGAAAGTACATTCTTTATTGTGAAGAATATCACTTTTTTATTTTTTTTACATATCTAGAAGAAGCAGAGTCATCTCAATATAAGTGATATATCTGTTACTTCAGAGTTCAGCTCAAGACTTAAAATCACACACTTCACTAGATAACTTATTAATAGAATGATTACTCATTATAAGAAGACTTCTGACTTACAAGATGAGACTGAGATCAGTTTTCATCAGAGTATGAAATTTGATGATGAGATAATAGAGAAGTTTTAGAATAAAGAAAAGTAGAGTTAATATTCATCTACAGAATCTATTCATTTCAACTCATTAAATTCTTCATTATCTCTTACTTCTGAAATACTGACTTTTAATAATAATCTGAATTAATCTATTTATTATATTGCAGGCAATCTTATGAATCTTATACAGATAATACTACAGAATCAAATAACTACAGCTGAAATCACTTAACATCTCATTACATCTGTCTCTATATAAAGAGACACTATAAGAGATGAGTTATGAAAATATCAGAAGAAAGTCAAATATATACTAGATATTAAATCAGTGACTACATTTAATAACTCTAATTATAAAGTCTGATATACTGATATATTGACTGATACAGAAGTCATTAATAAAACTGATATTCTATTAAGAACTTAACAAGAATTCTCTTTTACACATTATATTAACTCTGAGAAGTGAAGAATCTGTTTCAAGTCTCTATATAGATGTATACTATTGAGTTTTGTTGAAAATATTTGAATTACTATTAAAATCTTGAAAGCTGACAATACTGTAGCTCTGTGAGACAAGATTAATATTGAATATATAATATCACTGATAGAAGAATGAGTTAATATCTTTAAGAAATTGATAAAATTATAAGTCAAGAAGAATGATTATCTTACTTTTCAGAGATATTTTCACTATCTTATTATCTATTATAAGAAGCTCTGTCAGAGTACTGAGAATATATATTATAATCTTTTTCTCAACAATCTACAAGATTATCAAAGATCATTTATTAAGACATGTTTGAATGAGTTTTTCTTCACTGATCAGAAACTCATTGTCAACATTAATATCAATGATTTGATGAAGTAACTGATCAATTGTACATTTAAGAAGATTATCACTGAGTGAAAAAAGCAGTCTCAGATTAATTCTGTGACTGTGAAAAAGAATAAGAATAAAGATGAGAATAAAAGCACATCTGTATGAAAGTGCACTCACTGTAGAAGATATGAATATACTGTTGACAGATGTTTCATCTTACACTCTGATAAAAAGAAAAAGAAGAATGATAAGAAGAATGACAAGAAGAAAGAGAAGAAGAATGACTTGATAAGTTCTCAATCAGCAGCAAATACAGCAATTACAAAGATTGAGTTCTATTTCTCTTTCACAGTCACTGAAAAACCATTCTCTAGATCTTGATATTTGAACATATGTGTAAGCCTGAATATGATGAGTGAGCTTTATTCTTTTTCAAACATCAAACCTTTTAATGATAATATCTCTGTCAATTCTGCAACTGAGGAAACTGAGTTTATTAAGAAGATTGAAACTATCACTTTGAAGATTGAGAGTGATGATGTTAACTTGCAGAATATTCACTATATCTTTAATATTACAGTCAATCTACTCTTATTTGCAAAGCTTGAAGATCAGAGATTTCAATTTACATTGTCTTTTATTATTCTCTCATTTTTTATTTACAGAGTTCTGAACAGTGTTATTTTTCATGCAGTTCAGACTGCTCAGAACAACATATATAAGATTGACAAGTAAGAGTTCAATGAGAATCTCAATCACCTGAACAGAGCAGTTAAGTATATTATGATAATGCTCTATAAGTATGATTTTGACTGAAAAGTTGATCTTTCTGTGACTGCTGTTACTACTGTTAATAACATTGATTCTACAGTTCTGAATACAGGTCTTGAGAATACAAGAATATCAAAGACTCTTTTGAAATGACACTGTGATCTCAGTCACATTCACACTGATGCTATAATTACTATGATCAAGGATTCTCATACTGAAGTCACTATTAAAGATTCTAAGACTAAGTTCTTTTGCAAAGAATGTATCAAGACAGATATGATGTAAGATTATTTGAAAACACTGATGTCTAGATCTATTTGACTCATTGAGAAGGTTTATATTGATCTTGTAGATAATAGATATACATTGAAAGACCTCTCTGATCATCTCTTAGAGTTCTGTCAGGGAATCAAATACTGAATACTTATTATCTGTGATGCAACCTGCTACTGTTGAGTATATTTTTTAAAGTTCAAGAATGAGACTGTTCAATACTTTGAGTTATGGCTCAGATTTATAAGTAATCTCAGATATACAGTTCCTGCTTTTCTACAGACTGATATTGATGATGTTTTTCAATTCACATATATACACACAGTTATGAATTCATATGATATTAAATGAGAATTAACAGTATCACATTCATTACATCAGAATGATGTTTCTGAATGTGAAATTCACACTATTATGAAATGAGTTAGAGCTGCTCTTTTGAAAGATAATCTCTCTAAGAAGTTCTAAGCAGATGTTCTAGAGACAGTGATTATAATAATCAATAATACTCTCATATCTACAGTTCTTTATAACTTGAAATTTTGACCCTCTACTGCAGAGATTTCTGTGATTTCAAGTTCATATAAGATTTCTTGATATGCACTTATAAATATCTCACTGAATATGAGGCATTTTCACTGATTGAGTGCAGAGGTTTTTATTCACTTATATGAATCTCAGTAATCTGTGAATAAGCTTTCTTCACATGCTGATTTCTATTGTATTATTGAATTCAGTAACACATTGATATATTGTCTATGATATTCTGAATCTGATAAGATTATTATCAGTAGTGATGTGAGGTTTCTGATCATCAAAAAATCAGTTATTACATCTGTGAAACTTATTAATTATGTTATTGAACTGAAACCTGATATTCATCTGATTGATAATAAAGACACTCTCAATATTGATGATCTGAATTCTACATGATTGCAGCCCGCGAAATCAATGACTACTTACACTTCAAGCTCTATTACAGATAACCTCCCGAAGTTCTACAAGAATGCTACATCTCAGTCAGAGAGAGTAGAAGATTATTGAAAGAAGTTCATACAACACAAGATTACTGATCTGAAGAGATGCAATACATGATGTTTAATCTTCAGATCTGATATTCTGAGAAGTGAATTAATTACTCTAAGCTGTTGAGTGTTTCTTGAGAAAGATAGGCCTGCAGACCTGAATACTGATTCTGATAATATTCTTAGAAAATTGTGTTAAGTGATTTATAATAACTGACTTAAGAAGAGTTCTAGAGAAGAGATCTATGCTTCTGTTATCACTGATACTATCAATTATATTCTTTTTACAATAGCAGCACTTCACAGTTGAACACTCTGTTAAGTGAATATAGTGATGACATATCTTCATAAGCATCTCACTAAGAAGGTCTATATGAGACAATTCACTGAATTTAAGACAGGTTCACTGAAAACACTTGTCTACACAGTTGAGAATAGTCTATACAGTCTGAACTCTGCAGTGAAGATCTGATATGATTACTTAACAGCTCTGTTAAGTGATCTTGAATTTACAGTCAGCACTCATGATTCAGCACTCTGATATTATACATTCAGACATCATCTCTATATAATGATCTATGTTGATGATGTCAACATTATATTCAAAGTTTCTGAGAATGCTGATTGACTAGTGAGTATACTCAGTGAGAAATTGAAAGTCAAGAATCTACATCAGTCAATCAAGTATTTGAGTATGAAGATCAATTGTTTGAATAAGAGAATTGATTTGATATATTGTCAATATATCAAATATCTTATTAAAGATTTCTACCTTGATGATGCAGCTGTTGTCAGAATATCAATGAAGAATGAATTCTGTATTAATGATTTCTCTATATCTGAGAAAGAGACTGATTTCACAATTCAGTAATATCAACATGATATGAGTTGCTTGCAATATCTTGCAGTTAAAACACATTCTGATATCACTCACACTGTCTCACTACTTGCTCAACAGAATGTTGATTCAACACCTCAATGTTGAAAGGCTCTATTACATGTTATACATTATTTGAAAGAGATCATGGATCTGGGCATTTTCTACGGATGCGGCCTGTATAAGAGGTCTGTTTCTACTATTTCTACCATTTCTACTGATTTCTCTGTTACTTCTGATTTCCCTGATGATTCCTACCTACTCTTCAGCTACTCGGATTCTGATTGAGCCGGTTCCTTGAATGATGATAGGAAATCAAGATCTGGCTACATTTTTAAGCTTGCAGATGACCTGATTTCATGATGTTCAGTGAAGCAATCTTGTGTATCTCTAAGTTTCAATGATACTGAATATGTGACTCTTAGTGAGGCGGTCTGCGAAGCAACATGAATCTGAAATCTCATGATTGAGCTTGACTTCATCACTACATCTTCAATACAGATTCTCACTGATAATAAGAATATCATAGATCTCATAAAGATGGCAGTCATTACAGCCTGAAGTAAGCACATTGACACACATTTCTATTTTTTATGTTAGCAGTTGAATCAGAGAGTCATTGATTTAGAATACATTCTCATCACTCAGATGTAGACTGACCGTGTGACCGTGTCTGAGACCAGGATCAGATTTTTTGATAGTCTCATTATCAATTCAACTGATCCCATTACACGGTTTTAACATTAGATAGTAGTCTCATACTGTCTCAGTGAGACTTACTGTCTACTCTTATCACATTTTTCAAATAAGATCATGATTTCCACTTCTCAATTTAAATTATTTTTATTGCTTTAAATGACTTTAAATCTCATTTGAGTGTTATCAAAAAGTGTTACTTTTTAAAAAATTAAAAATAGTCTAAAAAAAACCTTAAAATGTCTAAAAATAGTAACTTTATGCCAAGAATGAGACTAAATGAGACCAAATGAAATCACTTTCTCATTTTTTTCAAGTCATGGTTCCATTTTAAGATCTGATATATAGTCACTTTACATGTTTTTTTTGATAGCCAGTCCCAGCGGGATTCACATCAAGAAATGTATAAGATTAGATCAAATGAAATCAAATGTGAAATTCATGATTCCGGCGGCCAGTCTACTCAAATGGCAGTGAATGAACTCACTAAATCTCTAGACACTATGACATTTGCATGATTCATGATTTTGCTAGATCTTACAGGTGTAAAAGTTGAGAATGTTTAATTTTACATTTATATTTGATTTTGACAGACTATCTTGATGATTTGAGTGTTTTTGTATGTGATTCTTGTTATCTTGAGAGAGAGTGTTGGCTGTTACAGCCGTTACGGTTAGCGATTCCACTAGATCACGTGACTCATCACTATATTATGTTCTTGTAGATAGATCTATCAATACAACCTTCAACTATTCTACAGATTTAACGTGACAGAACTGAAGCAGTGACTAGTCAGCAGTGTCATATAGAAGTAGTTATTTGAGAAGCTGTATAAGTGAGCTTGACTATCTTGCTTGAATAACAAGCTTGTAGACTACAGAGTTATTGCAAGAATATCACAGATATAATACTTAGTATACTAAGAAGATTATATAAGACATGCAGTAACTCTTGTATATATTTCAGTAGAAGAAAAATAAATCACTGACTTCTTTAATGAGAAGTCAGCATCTAGCTATTTTATATAGATAATGAGTAGATATTCTTCTCTTATTTTATAAGTAAGAATAGCTGAATTGATACCTCAGCAGTGTCTTACTATTAAGAAAGAGTAATCTGCTGATCTTATATAGAAGCAGAGTTCTTATATTTATTAATCAGATCTTTCTATAATATATCTGAATAATATTATAGAGTGGTTGAAAACTGGTTTAAATAGAATGAAATTATCTGTATAAAAGTAATAAGCTGTGTGAAACTGTAACAGAGTCTTGATATAATTAAGAGTTTAATAATACTCTTCTCTTTAAGAGTATAGTCTCTATACTCTTAAGATTATCAGATTAGAAGTTATCTTTATTATATAGCAACAGTTATCAACTGATTAACAGCATATATACTATATATGATATAAAGAAATAGATGAGTTTTTCTGCTGACTGTATAGATCTTTCTTTACTTATGCCAGCGTGGCTCAGTTGATAAGACTGCTAATCAAGACTACACACATTAGAGATGTGTGAGTTCGAATCTCACCGCTGGTACCTGTCACTTCTTTCCCATGAAAGCTCTCATATAATAGAGGCTGAGTCTAATTAGTAAGACTTGATGCAGGGTAGAACTCTCTACTGCAAGCTAAGTCACTAGTTAAGTGAGATTCTGCAAACACTCATCAGAGCTGGTATGAGATGTCAATGTCTCACTATTCTACTATGCATCTATCAAGGTTCTAATGATATAGAGTCAAGCCTAATATAGTGATTATACACTACTTAAGTGAGTCTCTAACTAGGGCTGTCATCAGAGTCTAGCTTTCTCTCAAATACAGAGAATGATTTTGAAAATCACCTGACTAGCAGGCCTAGATGTGTATCTAGGCCCTAGGCAGAACACTCTGATAGACTAGAGCCTGCAAGCTCACTGTCAAGTTCTAATACTGACAGAGAGAACTGCAGTCATCAAGTCTATGATTAGTCTCTAACACAGGGCGAGGTCATAACAGCTGATTGATAGGCCTATGAGCATCTAATGAGGCCGAGATCAGCAACTGGAAGCTTGATGTGTACATCATCAAGTGGGCAGTGGCAGTCACTAACTAACACCCCTGGAAATTAGTGACTGGCCCGAGAGGATGGACGCGGTGGTCAGTTAATTATAGGGGGTTAAATGTAATTAGCTTAAGGTGCATCCTGCGGGTGGCTAGCGCCTGTAGTTCATGGCAATGAATTGGCTGATTCAGCTGCAAAAAAGGGTGCAGAATTAAGCAGATCTATTCAAAAAATTATGTCCTAGTCTTTTATAAAGAGAAAAATAAAAGAATCTTGTTTAGATAAGTGAAATGAAAGCTGGCAGAAACAAAAGAAGAGTATACATTATTCAAGATTTGAAACAAAACTCAAGTGAAAATCTTGTTTAATTAAATATAAAAAGAAAATATTCTCATCTATAATACAGCTGAAACTAGAATATGATTATTTCAAATCTTATATACAAAGATTTAATGATAGATTTGACTCAATAGAATACTCATTCTGCAATATAAATGAGAATCCTGAGCATATTGTAATGCACTGTGTATTATACAATAGTCTCAGAGTCAGATTGAAAGAGAAGTATGATTTAAATTAATTAAATATGAGATTCTTATTCTCAACTGAGACAGAAATTAAATACTTAATAGACTTTCTATCAGAAACTCAAGCAGCTATAAGAAAATAACTAAATTCAGAATTATCTGAATATGAAGAGAAGAAAATCAACCAGATATAGTCTGTTAAAACAGCTATATACTATTTTTTAATAATTTATTTTATTACAGTCTTTCTTTACTTTATCTTTTTCTTTCAATTTCTTTCTATCTATCTATTTAATGTGTCTATCTTTAAGACTGTGTTCTCTTTTCCTTTGTCATGATATTGTCAAATGATTTCAAAGTATTAGAAGATGATAAAATACTGTAATTTGTAAATGATTTTTGTATTCTGAGCTGAAATTTTCTGATTTTATATATCTGAAATTGATGAATGTATAATAGTTAACTTTACAGATATAGAAAAAACCCTGAGAACTAAAAGTTCTCAGGTAGATATCATAGTCTCTGACTGTATACATCTATAATTGAAGAATAATAATAATAATAATAATTCTTTACTTATCTTCATTTAAATCAAATGTATGATAAGTAAGTTTCTTATATATCAATTTAAAATATGAAAAATGTAGTTAATAAGTGACTTACAGATCTTTCATCATATTCTGTTCTATATATAAAATTCTCTGTAAAAGTGATGTATTTTAGAGACAAAGTTAACAGTAGTAACAGAATTTTTTGAAAAGATCTCTTTCTTTATAAAATATTTTTCTTTCTCTTCTCTCAATTGTAACAGTGAGTGTATGAGAGTATTATTCTTGAAGAATAATAAAGAACTTATTCTGATATTTTCTAGTGAATAAATGTCTTTATAATGTGACTGCAGTCTCTGTGACTGTTAAGAAAGCTCAGTTGAAGATAGAAATAACAGTGTCAATGAACTGTGAGAGCACTGCTCTTATTATTACATCTTCTTCTTCTTCTTCTTCTACTTCTCTTACAGCTGTGATAATAGTCATTATATCTTGCAGTGAGATGTTGTTCTTTCTGCTGATTAGTTTGTCTATATCTGATTCTTCTTCTATCTCTCTCACTGCTGTTGTGACACTGTTTCTCTCTCTAGTTAACACAGTGATATATGACTCTGTGTGATCATTCAGAGAGAAATCTGAAGAGAGCTTGATTTCAGAGACAGTGACTTTAAGAAGCTTAATTTATAGTTTCTCTCTCACAGCATATCTGAGTTCTGCTTGAAATACTGCTGAGTTGAGTTCACAGAGTTCTGTAGTTTCTTTATCTTCTCTCTATAAGAAGGCTTCAGTATAGTCTCTGACTGACACTGCTACTTATCTACACTATGCTAAACAGCTGAAGAAGAGAAAGGTCTTATATATTCATTTCTTCTCTCACTTCTGTTATTTCTGTTACATCTAGACTGACCGTGTGACCGTGTCTGAGACCAGGACCAGAATTTTTGATAGTCTCATTGTCAATTCAACAGATCCCATTACACGGTTCTAACATTAGATAGTAGTCTCATACTGTCTCAGTGAGACTTACTGTCTACTCTTGTCACATTTTTCAAATGAGACCATGATTTCCACTTCTCAATTTAAATTATTTTTATTGCTTTAAATGGCTTTAAATCTCATTTGAGTGTTATCAAAAAGTGTTACTTTTTAAAAAATTAAAAATAGTCTAAAAAAAACCTTAAAATGTCTAAAAATAGTAACTTTATGCCAAGAATGGGACTAAATGGGACCAAATGGGATCACTTTCTCATTTTTTTCAAGTCATGGTTTCATTTTGAGATCTGATATATAGTCACTTTGCATGTTTATTTAATAATTAGTCCCAGCGGGATTCACGCCAAGAAATGTATGAAATCAGATCAAATGGAATCAAACGTGAAATTCATGATCCCGGCGGCCAGTCTAGTTACATCTGTAATAACAACTTCTATCTCTCTATAAGTATTATCTATTCTATAAGAAGATGTCATGTTAACTCTGATAAGAAGCTCAGATGTCTAAGCAGTATAGAGTGAGAGTCTCAGAGCTTCAAGTATTAATAAATTCTATCAAGACTGAGAAGATCTCTCTTACTCATTTATAAAAGAAAATGAAAGTATGAATCTCTGAGATAAAAAAACATCTCAGAATAACTAATCTTAAGAAGAGATCAGCTGATATCACTGTTAAAAACACTGCAGAGATTAATTACTGATTAAAGAGAATCTCACTTCAATTGAAACAAATGACTGAGATACTTTATAAGTTAATAAGTTAATATTTTATACATTTCTCATACTCTTCTGCAGTATCACAGTACTAACTTCTCAGTAGATAAAGATACTGATATTAAAGACTTTAACAGTGAAGAATGAGTTTAATAAGAGTGTGATTATTGATGAGTAAACTCTGAAATTCTCTTTTTTTACTTTTTCAGCAGACTGTGATCTTATTAGAATAGCAGTAGTCTGCAGATCAATAATATTAATCTTTTTATTAGTTTTAAATATCTCTTTTCTTTTAATTACTTCAGGAATTTTATACTTATATAATCTCATTAAACTTCTAAAAAACTCTTTAAGAGAAAATAGAAGAAGAGTGTTACAGAGCTTATAAGACACTGACTTATTATTATAAGATTATCTTTAAAAAACTCTTTAGAAAAAATGAGAAGTCTTAAGTAGTATTTCTTACTCAGTGTCTCTGATATATAATAGAACAGTCTTTACTAACTATCTCATAGCTTATAATCTCTTTCTCAGTATTTTTCAAATGTTCAAGCAGTTCTTATGAATTCTCTGATAATGAATAATCTTCTTATTTAATAAGATATTAAAGCTTACTGTAATATATCACTTATCTAATATTTTTTTTCATAAGATATTCAGTATCACTCTCAATCTTGATATTATTCAGCTGAGACAGCTTCACTCTGAAATATTACTTATAGAGCTTTAGATAGAAAATATGAAAAATAGAATAAATTGATTTCAATTCTGTGAATAATTTTAACTTATATATCTGCTTATTTATTACTCTTATTACTGAGAAAGATTCTAGTCACTACTTACTAAGCTTCTTATACAGTCTTATTATCTTGATATTCTTTGCTGAAAATAGTACTTAATTCTCTATCAAGAACTTCATTAAAAGATGTTTTTAATTATAGTATTTTATCTATTACTTCTGAATATAATAAATACTTTTCACTGTCTTCTTATGAATTTTATTTAAAAGTTTCAATCTTGCTTTTACTTCTGACACTGAGAGATACTCTGTTCTCTGTATCTATTCAATATTCTGACTATCTATCTCTCTCTTTAAAATGTCATCTGTGATATTACTGAGTAATGAAAAATTATATTTATAATAAGTATAGAAAGAAGATATCTTTAAGATTATATTCTTTGCATTATTATATATGAATTCAGTGATCAGAAGATGTTTAAGTCAATCATTCTGATAATATAAATAGAATACTTGAAGATGCTATTTTAGTGTCTGATTCTAATATTCAGTCTGATCATCTGTCTGTAGATAAAATGTAATACTGAGAAGATATCTTATTATAAGATAATAGTAAAAAGCTGATCAGTATTTACTGATGAAAAGAAATTCTTGATCTATTATCAATGATTTCAGAGCACTGTAATTATAAATAATAATATCTAAAAATAGATCAGTTAATTCAGAGGCTTTAATCTTTTTATAAGTAGAGATATATCTAGTCATCTTTGTAAAGTAATTAATAATAATTAAAATTGAGTCATATTCTTTGACTCTTGTTAACTTTGACAGATTAGCTATGAAATTCATTAATAGATTCTATTATAAGCTCTTTGAAACAGGCAGTGATACTAACTCACTGTATTACTTATATTATAAGATCTTTATTCTTTGATAGATATTATAAGTCTTAATATACTCTTTAATATCTGTCTGA